GTGAAGAAGAATGGCGTTCCTGATCTCACGATGATCGATCTTCCCGGCATTACGCGAGTGCCTGTTCAAGGTCAACCTTTGGATATATATGACCAGGTTGTGAATACTATTATGGAGTATATAAAGCCTGAGGAGAGCATTATTCTCAATGTTTTATCTGCCGCTGTTGATTTCTCAACTTGTGAGTCCATTAGGATGTCACAGACTGTTGACAAAACGGGAGCGAGGACTCTTGCTGTTGTCACAAAAGTTGATATGTTCCCGGATGGACTGTGTGAGAAAGTAATGCTAATGATTGGAACATCGGGGCTGGATGTGTGTGTAAGAAACGCATTGGAGATGAGTCCCGAAGAAGCTCGTGAAAAGAAGCCAAACATTCAAGACACACAAGCTTTTGTCCAACATTGACAAGTCCATTGTTGGTATTCCGGTTTTGGCAGAGAAGTTGGTTCAGCTTCAAGCGGCTAGTATTTCCAAAATATTGCCTGAGATTGTTAAGAAGATCAATGACAAACTTGATTCTCAGCTTTCCAAGCTGGAAAAATTTCCCAGAAAACTCACCTCCTCGGTTGATGTTATGTCTGCATTCATGGATGTCATTGGGTTGACAAGGGAGTCCCTATGCAAGATTCTTCTGAAGGGAGAATTTGACAAGTACCCTGATGACAAACAAATGCATTGCACTGCTCGCCTTGTTGAAATGCTGGATCTGTACTCTAATGATCTCCGCCAGGGTTCTGAAAGTAGTGCTGAAGAGAAGTTTTTGATGGAAGAAATTAAGGTGCTAGAAGAAACCAAGCGGATTGGACTTCCAAACTTCATGCCACGCATGTTTTTCTTACACGTTTCACAGTAAAGTGGAATCCATTTCAAGCATACCAATTAAGTTCATTGACAAGGGTGTAGCTATCTTGAGAGGGGGGGTAACTATCCTGAAACATCACTCAGAACATTATCACCAACTTCAAACATCTTTAAGACTTGCTTGGCAGAAGCTCATTGCTAAGATGAGGGAAAATTCTATGAAATATATGCAGGAGGTTGTAGAAATGGAGAAGCTGACCGATTACTCTTGCAATCCTGAATACACAATTGAGTATAATAAACTGATTGCCAGCCAGAATTATTTGGTGGAAAATGTTAAAGCACGTCCTTCCCTGATGATATCTATTAATGGTTTTGGGACTGTTGCGGTTAGTCCATCTGACCCTGTACACAACTTTACTTCCGCAAGCTTTTGACTTGAAAGTGAGACTAACAGCATACTGGAAGATTGTGCTTCAGAGGCTTATAGACAACACTGCACTGCATTTGCAATTCAGCATTTTCAACCTTCTGAACAAGGATCTAGGATATGAGGTTTTGAAGGATATGGTGTCTCCTAGTGGAGGTGGAATAGAGAGATTGTTTGAGGAAACTCCTTCAGTTGCTGTGAAGCGTGACAATCTCAATAGGAGCATTAAGATTCTCAAGGATAGTAAGGAAGTGGTGGCTAGCATAATTGACAAAATTTCTACCTATGGTAATCAGAATTAGGAATGTCTTTTTTGATGTTTGTGACCATGTTAATGTTGCATCTAAGGTTTTAGATCAAGTGTCCCTAAAGTGGTAGATGTATAGGTTTTGTGTTGGTGTATTCTCTAGTTTTTTAGTTTTGTGTGTGGTGTCGTTTATGATTACAATGAATGTGTGATTAGGATCCCAATGAATGTGTTGACGTTTTATCCTTGTTCTTCCTAAAGTGCTGTCCGGCAAAATGACTGACTTGAACTACCAAATGTTGCATGTTTTTTGTTTGTTTTCCAAGAGTATTCACCGTCAAATGTTGGAGGAATGAATCATAAGTTGTCTTGGTACATTTAGAATCATTTCTGGCTTCTTTTTTAACCCCAGAACCAACCTTCCAAAAATTTGTGTCAACAAATTTCTCGCTTCACGGAGTTGATGTGGCCCAACAGGAATTATAGGTGTCTTGTTTCATGCAATTGATAATATCAACTTTATTAGCGTTATTAGCATTAGATGCTAACAGGAGAGAGAGAGAAATGTATGCCATTTTAATTACAAAAGAAAAATAAAATAAAATAAAGCTTGAATCTAAGGGGTAAACAACTGTGATTATAGTAAACTTTAAAAAAATGTATACGATCATGTTCTATATTGTTGGGATTTACATAACAAATATGCACATAACAAAACAAAATGGCGCGTGATTGAAAGCATTGCATCCAGAGTAAACCACTGTAATGATCTATAACAGTGAGATGATTCAATGTCCATGGACCTATTTGATGTAGGTAAGTTCTAAAGGAAGGAAAAAACATAAGTTAATCTACTGAGTTTGGAATTAATTGCAAACTCCAACTTGACTCAACTTAAAATTGTAGAAGTTTAAACTGTAAAATTATAAAATTATTAAAAAATTACAAAATAAAAGGTTTCAAAATTATAAAATTGTAAAAATGAGAATTAGATACAAATTTACAAAAAAGTTATGTTATTATTTATAGATATTGTCGATAGGTAATTTATAAAATGGTAATTTATAAATTTCATCTATAAGTAATTATTTATAAATTTTATATATAGGAAATTTTGTGCGGACTAAATTTGTATGTAATTAAATAGTGAGATTATGTAATGTCACTATAGGATTAATTAGTTTTAATAACATTTATTTTTGTTACATTTATTAAAAATGTTATGTATACCTATATTGATTTGTTAAAAATGGGTAAATAATATAGAATGTTGAAGTCTGATTTGATATTGGTTTATAAAAATGGGTTGGATTAGATTGGTATGTTAATTGGAAATGAGTTGAATTTTATTGTTCAATTTGACATGTTGTCGTTTGTTTTTTTTTGTAATCATTAAAAGTGTAACTATTACATGAAAATAGTGATTTTCTTTTTACATCAAATGGCTGATGTCGGATGTGCTATAGTTGATTTTGAACCTGAAAATGGCTAAAATGGCATCATCTGAACCGTTTTAGATCTAGTCGAGCTGTATCCGATTTAGTCTAGCCATATCAAATCTTGGGTCAAACTGTCATATTGTGTTAATATAAAGTTTTAGTGTGTAGTTAATTTTTTTTTAATGAAAACAAATTGTTGGACAATCTTATTAGACATCAGACTTAACGGATTAGGTTCGTTCAGACTCTCAAGTTAAAAACACTATCTTAATCCACTTTTTTTAATTAGGCTGACATCCAACTTAATAATTTTGTCATATCTAACAATACTTGTTTAAAAATATTACCACAATTAATACAAATAATAATATTGTAACATTTTTAAATAAATGTTACTATAGATAATTAATCAAGTTTCCTTTTTTTTTCAATTGTAAATTTATAGAACATTTTAAAATAATAACAATAAATTTATTAATTAATCAATTTTATAATAACATTGCAACAATTAATATTAATTTAAAAATTAACATTTTAAAGTAATATTTTAATTTATTTAAAAATAAATTTAAATTAACAATCGTTTGAAAATAAGAACACATATCTAACGGTAATACATTGTTTTCAATCTAAACTTTGTTCCTCACTTCTATTTCCATCTTCTGGTAATATCATTATATCATTATTCTGGTAATATCATTATGTGTGCTAAACACAAGGACAAGCAAGATCAGTGCGATAAAAGAGAAATTTGTTTCCAAAGAATCTGAATATATGGGTGTAATATTGTGAAATAGTTGATTCACCTTGTTTGCAATTGTGAATGCCTGCCTTCCTGAATGCGGAACTTATCACCATGAGAAAATCTTTGGAGAAGATCACTCCAAATGTCTGAATCCATCCACATAATTGATTGTTTGATATTGCTGATCATGGAGCGAGTAAGCCATTCGATCACCATCTTGTTGCAATGCTTCTAGGCTTCATGCAGAAGATCAGTGCGCGATGGGCAGGAGAGGGTACCAAGAAGAAACTTTTCTTTGTTCTTGGTTTCAAAAGCAACAAACACATCTCGTTTCCATTGCTGATATCAAGGGTTTGTGAAACAAGATTGAGAGCAGGACTTTCTCCTGGTGAGATGATCCAATTGAGGAGTGGTCATGGAGAGATGAGAGAAGGAGAAGAACAACGGAACAAAGATTAACCTGATACCATGTGAGTGTATTGAAGAAGAGAAATGAGGTAAAGGAAATCCTTTATTAAAACAATTACATAAGAGAGGCATTGAATATATAGGTATGTTCAAGCCATTAGAAAAGCTGAACAAAACTAAAAAACAGAAGCAACAGAAAAACTGATATAACATGAAAACTAAAAGCTGAAGAAGATATTAATGATATCTCGTGAAAATGGAAGGTTATATGCATGTGCGAAGAGCACTCTTGCTTACTCTGGCGTGTCGATGATAAAAAATTTCAAGGCATATGGTAAAGAATTTAATTAATATCATTATTAAAAAATAATAAAAATGCATCATTATTAAATTTTAAAAAAATGGTTAAATATTCATGAACCATCGTAGATAATTGGTTTTGTTATAAATTACACAATACTTATCAAACAATATATTTCATTTTTGGATTTTCAAAACATGATGTAATTTTTTAAAATATAAATTAAAAGATAAATAAATATTAAATTAAAATAAGAAACCATTTAAAAAGTTTAATATATAAAAAAATCATTTTAAAACAACATATTAATTAACCTATTTCCCAAAGTAATAAACTTTGTTATTATCATTCTGAAAGCAGCAAAACTTTATAACACAGAAAAAGTGAGATGCAGGATGGATTGCTCAATAGAGAAAATTTTAAGTATTTATTAATAACACACGGCAGAGTTACAGAGGTTTAAACATTATAATGGAAGTTAAGGAGAGGAAACAGGGGAAGGGAAGAACTTTCAAGAATACCAGACATACCCTTAATACAGTTACAAATTATTATATATAGAACACACATTGCAGTTACTAACGGGTAAATGTTTCCCTTATCTTTGATCAATAACTTCCAAGTTTTGCGCATCTCTCGCTTACTGCGCCTCGATTCAATCGTTACCACATTCCCTAATATGTTGTTGATACAATTAACTACAAGGATCTCCACTCTTACCAACACCACATTCCTCCTGACTCTTGCTCCACTCAGTCTCGTTCCAATTCGTTACCTTACCCTCACTTGGAAATGGCAGAAGGAACCCTCGCCTCTGTTTTCGATCATTCAACACCAAAAACTGAGCTATACGACGTTAAAAATGTTGCACCTATGTTGTCTTCTTACAATCAGCGCATACGTCCGATCCTTGACGCTCTTGAGAACCTGAGGCGGCTAAACATCACCAAAGAAGGGATACAGCTTCCAGCCATAGTGGTAGTTGGTGACCAATCTTCTGGAAAGTCCAGTGTCTTAGAATCTCTGGCTGGAATCAACTTGCCCCGTGGACAAGGTATCTGCACAAGGGTACCCTTGGTCATGAGGCTCCAAAACCACTCACATCCCAAACCAGAGTTGGAGCTGGAGTATAATGACAAACATGTGCCCACGGATGAGGCTCACGTCTCTGAAGCCATTTGTGCTGCGACAGATGAACTTGCCGGCTATGGGAAAGGAATTTCGAACACCCCATTAACTCTTATCGTGAAGAAGAATGGTGCTCCTGATCTCACCATGATCGATCTTCCCGGCATTACGCGAGTGGCTGTTCAAGGTCAACCTTTGGATATATATGACCAGGTTGTCAATATTATTATGGAGTATATAAAGCCTGAGGAGAGCATTATTCTCAATGTTTTATCTGCCACTGCTGATTTCTCTACCTATGAGTCCATTAGGATGTCGCAGACTGTTGACAAAACGGGAGCGAGGACTCTTGCTGTTGTCACAAAAGTTGATAAATCCCCGGAGGGACTGCCTGAGAAGGTAAATGCTGATGATGTGAACATCGGTCTTGGCTATGTGTGTGTAAGAAATCGCATTGGAGATGAGTCCTACGAAGAAGCTCGTGAAGAAGAAGCCAAACTATTCAAGACACACAAGCTTTTGTCCAACATTGACAAGTCCATTGTTGGTATTCCGGTTTTGGCAGAGAAGTTGGTTCAGCTTCAAGCGGCTAGTATTTCCAAAATATTGCCTGAGATTGTTAAGAAGATCAATGACAAACTTGATTCTCAGCTTTCCAAGCTGGAAAAATTTCCCAGAAAACTCACCTCCTCGGTTGATGTTATGTCTGCATTCATGGATGTCATTGGGTTGACAAGAGAGTCCCTATGCAAGATTCTTCTGAAGGGAGAATTTGACAAGTACCCTGATGACAAACAAATGCATTGCACTGCTCGCCTTGTTGAAATGCTGGATCAGTACTCTAATGATCTCCGCCAGGGTTCTGATAGTGCTGATGAGAAGTTTTTGATGGAAGAAATTAAGGTGCTAGAAGAAACCAAGCGGATTGGACTTCCAAACTTCATGCCACGCACTGTTTTTCTTACACGTTTACACAGTAAAGTGGAATCCATTTCAAGCATACCAATTAAGTTCATTGACAAGGTGTAGGACTATCTTGAAGATGTGGGGGTAACTATCCTGAAACATCACTCAGAACATTATCACCAACTTCAGACATCTTTAAGACTTGCTTGGCAGAAGCTCATTGCTAAGATGAGGGAAAATTCTATGAAATATATGCAGGAGGTTGTAGAAATGGAGAAGCT